TTTTACAACGAGGGTTTTTCTTTTTTTTTTTTAATAAAAAGCATAAACATAAATAACTAACAAATTGTTTATTAAAAATTATATCATTATTACAAGTTTAATAAATATTTCGGCGTTTCGCACGGTTTCGAATATTCTCCATAGTTCGTATAATGAACCACTTGGCAAGTTTTGGCGATAAGGCGTAGAGGGTATGAACAACCCCTACGAGGAGCGTGTGTGGGAAATAGCCGGTGGTGTTGTCTTGTACACCTACAGTTCTGAGAGCGCTCGTGACATATTTCTTCGGACTAGGAGCCATCCACGTAGACGATCGTATTTTTGACATTTTTGTTGCCACATAACCGGGTAAAGTACATTGAACAGTTATGCCATGTTTTGCATACTCGGCTCCTAGGTCGGCCGAAAATTTTTGAACGTATGCCTTAGTAGCGGCGTAGACGGTGAGTAAAGGACTTGGAATTTGAGCTGCAGTTGACGATATATTGATAACAACCCCTCGACCTCTTTCCACCATTCCCGGCATCACGATTTTGCACATGTTCGTTACCGATAAAATGTTGCAATTTATAATTTCTGGATACGTTTTATCCCTGTCCTTAAGCTCGAGGAAGTAGTCAGGATAGGGATAACTCATTCCAACATTATTCACTAAAGTTCCGATCTCCAAACCCACCAATTGCTTTTCTATAACATGGTAAATTTCTACTGGTTCTGTAAAATCCACTGCAATCACTTTCGTTTGAACAGTGTACTCTTTTTCTAAAAAGAAATGAAAACAAAATAATTTTTGCTCGATTTTCAAATGTTTAAAAAAGGCTAGTTTCAATAGTAATTCAAGTTTAAAGTCCCTTGTATCAGAAATAGGTAAAACCTGGTAAGTCGACATTGAAATAATTTTGTTTCTAAAAGTTTGATACGGGACTATTTTCCGTAAGGATCTAGCGGGGTCCTTTATATCTGCCGAATATTAGCTTTTAAATACACAGAAAACTATAAATGAAGTTATGTCTTTTTAAACTTTCGCGACCGTTGTGTTGTTAAGAAATAGTCCGGCCAAATTGTGAAAAATAGTAAAATAAACAACTTAATAAAAGTTTATAAAAATGCCTAGAAATGTTAAGATGAATTCAGTGTGTTAAATATTTCTTTCTAGGAGCAAAATTATTAAAATTTTAACTCCGTCAGAAACCACTGTTGTCAATGATTTTGATTATTGACCAGTATGAAGTTAGAAATTTCAACCGGACTGCCTTAGTTAAAAACAAGAATTATCGAGTATTAAACTGTGTCGATTATTATTAAAGCTACTTGTTTCGCTAATAACGCCGATATGAAACTTTCAAGTGTATATATCGCAGAAGGCAAAAATACCTATAACTACCAAAACATAATCGATGGGATACACTGTTTAGAACTCGAGAGCTTCTGTAAATGAAGTGAAACACTCATTGGTAATTTCGTTACATAATTCTAGTAGTGTAGTTCGTCATTATTATCAACCAGAAAGTTATAGCACCGAAGGATAACCTAAAGTTGATAAACTTTGAAGTACTTGAACAGATATAATCAGTTAATTCTCCCTAATCAGGAACATAGTTGCTGTAGGTACATAAGCAAGTTAGTCACTGAAAAGCGAATTCATTACCTATTTCTGAGGCAACTGCCTCTAATTTAGACTGCGTCCTGCTAATGAGGACAATGTTTAATCCTTTTTTGGCAAGATTTTCCGCATAAGCCTTCCCAAGTCCATCCGTAGCTCCTGTAACGACTAAAAGAAAACGTTATTACCATCACGTTCAACATTTAACTCGTCAAACTTTACGTCAATAAAGAAAACTTTGCGTTCATAGTAGGTAGTTCGATATTCCAACTGGTGCAATTCTCTGTTTGCAACAGTTTGAGATTTATTTGCATCTCAACTAGCAAAACAAGTGGTTTGACCCTACACTCAATTAGAACGTTAATAGAGATCAGCAATTTAGTATGTTCTGCAACAGCCAAAAGCATTAGCCAACTAAGTTAGCTAAATTGCTAAACCAGTAAAATGAATTTGAAAAGTTAGTAAACGTTCTCATACAAGGCTTATTCCTAAAATCGTTTGTCTAACTTAAACTTAATCGGTCAGTTAATTTTCGAATCAATGATGCTCGTAAAATTCAACTTATAATACACTTTCTGAACTGAATATTGTACTAAATGTTTTTTTTTTTTCTTTTTAGGCGAATTCGTGAGACAAATTAGTGTTAGTCGGTGGTGATTAGTGTTCGCGAAGATTGCGAGGAAATCCAGGAATAAAAGGTAGGATTGCACTTATTTCTGCATCTTTTTGCGCTTCTTCTAGCTTGAATGCTGTGAAATCTAAAATCGCTAACGTATGGTACCTACTTTCATTTTATGCTATTCTATTAGTTATAGAAAGTTTAGAGGAAATGTTTATTGAACAACAGTCGACCTATCTGGTTTAAACAAAATTTAGTTAATCAAAAGAAAATGTATGATTTAAAAAATTTAGGTACAAGAATATTAAGCGTAATATATGTCAATAACCGTACCGTAGCAGCCTATTGTTTAACGTTTTAATTAATTATAAATTCATTCGTGGTATTGTTTTAAAAAGACAATTGGAACACTTATGTTACGAGGTTACTTTACAAAATCGTCAAATGAAAAATTAAATAATAAATCCAACGAAGTATTAAGTAATCTAGAGTAGGTCATCGAAAAATGCTTGGACTGCTTTTTTCTAACTTCCTTACTTTATATTTTTGAATATACAAGCAATGTTTAAATAACGCCAGACTAGCACACGTTGTTAAAAAATAATGGTTTTAGATTTCAAAGAACTAAAAAACAATTGTTTTTATAAACAATGTTGCGATAAATATATTCTAAATATTTTAAATTTAACTACATCATCATAATGTCGTCAGTCCCAAGATTGTTTGGACAGGTACTTCCACTGTTTCCTATCCTGGGCTAATCTTCGCATTCCCCTAAAACTAGACAAACCAAATCCTCAACTATTTGCGAACAGTAATCTAATCTAGGTCTACCTCTACCTCTCCTAACTACATGATTTATTTACATTTATTTATATATATAGCCACAACAACTTTAATCGACGCGTTAATTAAAAGGGTTGTGGTTAATTGGAGAAACACAATTTTCTATTCGTACACAACTTGAAATAGTTCTTATTATATTAATTAATATAAAACAAGGTAAAAGTACGTACCTGCCCATTTTCCAACTTTAGCAAGATTGATATTTAAATTTAAATTGGGACCAATAAAATTATAATAAATGAAATTGATAAGCCATCGTGTAATTTGAAATCCCACGATGCTAATGCATACAATTCCGATTTTTTCCAGTATCGTTAGCATTTTAAATTTAAGGAAATTAAAAAAAAAAATAAAAACAGCCCACTTAACACATTCTTGAACGTGAACTTCGCTACTGATACGCGCTTCTATCAAGCTGATAAGAGATAACTTGATATTGAGACAGGACAAATGAATTGTGGTGGACGATTTAAATTTGCGCAAGCGCTTTTTAGTTCCCTAACCCCTTTCACCAGTGTCTTTCCTTGTCTTACGCTATGACAATATAGCGCATAAATGAAAATTGAGAAAGCCAAGGATATTATCAACTGCTCACCATCATAATTTCACATTACTTTCTACATAATATACAACATCTTCTAATAATTAATGATATCTATATGAAGGAAGAAGGCAATAAGTTGGCGTATTCTTATTAATTAATATTTTACTACCCCATTGTATTCCCGGATGTTAACTCAATACTTTGGTGAAAATTACAATCAAATCCATTGGTTAGTTTTCATACGAACGAGACGACAGATGTAAACTTTAAAAAAGGTTTAATTTATAAGGGCTATCGGGTAACCCACCCCGGATTTAGTCCATAAATTGCGCTTATGTGAGTAATTTCTGTTGGATTCACCGCGGAAAAAAATGTTTTTGGAAATTTGTTTTGGATTCACATCGACATAAACGGAATGACCTAAATGTAATTTCCACAAAATATTAAATAAACATTTGAGAGTATAGGTCTACTATACTATACTATATTAGAGTTTCTTAACAAATACAATCGTAAAGAACATTAGGTCAGTAATTTATTGAAGCTACCAGACAGTTAGTCCTCATCAGCACGCCAAAAGCAGTTTCACAGTTACAATTATGTAACATATTATAAAAACAGCTCTACTTCTCGGTGTATAAAGCTGTGAATTATAGTAGGTATATTATAAATATAGTGTGCCGGATGGGGTTAATTTAAATATTAACTTTGCGTTATGAACTGGGTAGATAGAGGTTGTACATCTGGGTGTGCAATTGATGGATTCCAGAACGTCAATAGTTTCGCTCTTCTTTGCTACTTTCACGCAATCCGCATATGTTTTAGAGGGGAAATTTCTCTTGGAATCATGACCTCCGGCAGTAGGTAACTGGGTTTGTTATTATTGCCAATCCGGACATTGGCCCGCTTTTTGAATTATTTATTTTTACCTTCCGTTTCATGCATAACAAGTTTCGTTTTTAGTCGAATACACTTTCGAATTTTCAAGAATAGAATTAATAAATTATTATAAAGAGAAATTTTTAAGTCATCAGTTTTTCATATCTAATGCAGTTACTCCAGCTTTGTACTTCCAACAAACAAACTTTAGTCTAAAAGAGTAAGGTATATGTTGACGTTATCCCTGTTAGATATGCCTTTAAATTTCAAATTCTCTTACCTAAGGGAGGTCTTCTTCCGAAAGGTACCTGAACAACATTTTAAGCTTAGCGCCCTCTCGTCCATCTTGAAAGCTCTCTAGTTATTGAATCGATTCAGAGATGCCGCGCAGAGTAATATTTTTATGTTTTTCTGTACTGACTAATAACATGATTATTTCATGATCGATCATTATTATCAAGTGGAGATATATACGCGACAGTGTATCCGTTAAAGCCACGTTTTTTTTTTTATTAGATAAATTTTAAGTTTAGATGCCCGAAGCTTTTCTGAATATTGTTGAGTTTATTCGTTACAGTACGTTGGTATATTTGTGTCGTTTTTGATGACAAAGCTGCACATATTTCGGGAGTGTATCGGCGTAATGAATGTTGTGTTTCGTTAGCGGGTGGAGTCGTTTGTTTGAATCTGAACAGCAACAAGTGTCAAATTATTAAAAAAATAGTTATTATGGGTTGTGCTGTAAGTACAACAGGTGATAAGGAAGCCACAGAAAGGTCGAAAAAGATTGATCGAGACCTTAGGGCCGATGGCGAAAGAGCCGCGAGCGAAGCGAAGCTGCTACTTCTAGGTACCTATACATGAAATATAACGAAAACGTTTACTGAAATATTATTCTGGAATATTAATCACTTCACAGGCGCCGGCGAATCGGGAAAAAGCACAATTGTAAAGCAAATGAAAATTATCCACGAAACTGGCTATTCCAAAGAAGAATGTGAACAATATCGCCCTGTCGTTTACAGTAATACTATTCAAAGTCTAATGACTATCATAAGTGCAATGGGTCAATTAAGAATCGATTTTGCCGATCCCAGCAGAGCTGTGAGTAAATAATTGATATTATAAGTCCTCATACCTATAATATCTACCATATAATTGTATACAGGATGTCGCCCGTCACTTCTTCACTTATGCTAGTGCAGCAGAAGAAGGTGAACTGACCCCAGAACTAGTTCTATTAATGAAAAAACTATGGGCAGACCCTGGGGTGCAGTTATGTTTCGCTAGATCCAGGGAATATCAATTAAATGACTCAGCAGGGTACTACTTAAATGCACTTGACCGTATTTCCCAACCAAACTATGTACCAACACAGCAGGATGTATTGAGAACCAGAGTTAAAACAACAGGAATTGTAGAGACACATTTCTCATTTAAAGGATTGCATTTTAAGTAAGTTAATGTTGTTATATGTAGTAAAGGTTTATACTACTCAGTACAAACAATTTATAGGATGTTTGATGTTGGAGGACAAAGATCTGAGAGAAAGAAGTGGATTCACTGTTTTGAAGGAGTTACAGCAATTATATTCTGTGTAGCTCTCTCTGGTATGTCAATTGTGTCTGATTCTGGTTTGAAGAAATTAATATTTCTTTATCAATATTAGGGTATGACCTGGTTCTTGCTGAAGATGAGGAAATGAATAGAATGATAGAGTCAATGAAACTATTCGATTCCATTTGTAATAGCAAATGGTTCGTTTCCACGTCGATTATACTGTTCCTAAATAAAAAAGATCTATTCGAACAAAAAATTACCAGAAGCCCACTGACTATATGCTTCCCAGAATATACGGGGCCGAACACATACGAGGATGCGTCAGCTTATATCCAAATGAAGTTTGAAGATTTGAACAAAAGAAAAGATCAAAAAGAGATCTACACCCATTTTACATGTGCCACTGATACGACAAATATCCAATTCGTTTTTGACGCAGTCACCGACGTTATCATAAAAAATAACTTAAAAGACTGCGGCCTTTTAATGTAATGTCAGTTTTCTCTCTCTCTCTCTCACACACACACGCTCTTCATAAAATAATTCGTTTATATGTTGCATAAGCTGTAGTAATACAAACAAACGGCTAATTTTTAAAACAAACTTGATACAAATCATGTTTACATGTCATATTTACAAACATTTGAATGTAATAACAATAACAGCTTTTTATACACTACGAATTTACACATCGCGTTATAGCCCATGACTTTTTCGTGATATATTTATTTTTATACAATGCTGAATCTCCTAGCCAAATATATTTAAAGTCATTCCAATATGTCACGGAACTTTTAATACGTTTTCATCGAAGGCAAAAACTTTTTCAACGATATTTTATTGATTACAATACGTCACTGCCAAAAATCTTCATGAAAAAAGGTCTCGATCATGTTCAGGGAGAGACAAATTTTAGGCCTTAAGTTTCGAATATACAACGTACAAAATGCACCCTGTTGACATTTTGCAGAATCTCTAGGCAATTCGTTAATTTCGTAAACGTTTTAGATCTTTACTGTAATGTATTTATTGCGAAGATAGGTAATAATTTTTTTCGTTAGAAAATTATTTTCTTTGTTTGGTAAATAAGCAATTTTTGTTTTCGTCGAATTATAATGTTTGAAAATTAGCAACGAGGTGATTTAATCGTGAAAAAGGACGGACCAATTTGTGTGGTTGCAAAGAAAAAAAGAAAAAAATAAATACTAGTAATCTCAAGAAGTATTTAATGGAAGTATTAACGTTGCATTTATTTTTGACGTAACTAGCAAGTCTGAAGTGAATTTTTTCACTCGAAATAAACTAATTAAAACGTAAACTTGTCTTAAAACGTACAGTATTTAAAATTTTCAAGTAAATAATAAGCAGCTATGTTATATTACTATTACTAAATGCATAATAATAATAATAATAATAATATGATTGATGTTAATCGTTACAATTTTTAGATGTTTTCTAAACATTAAATGTATGTATGCGTTTTTTCAAAACTTGGTAATCTATATGCAATGCCGAATAGCAAAAAAAAAAAAGTAGTTTTCCAAAAGACTGTCGTAATATTCTTCTCTGAAAATATGTCATGATGATCTAGCCTTACACGTAAAGTTGATTGGAAATTATTTTTTATAAGTGTATATACATGTTTCAGAGTACTTTAACTATATCTTTTCTAGTTATATATTTTTGTATACAATAAAGCATCTAATAAATGTGTAGTATTCAACTTCGTTTATCATTATCGTCTTAACAACGTATTCGCAATCATTTTTAAGAGTGGAGTATTGAATGACAAAAATCTACAAAATATTTTTTCTTTTTATTAATAAGACTAAATTGTATAAAAATATATATACAACATAGTTATATATAAATATTAATTTTTTTTAACGAATCCAGAAATCGGAGGCGGCCCAATATTAATATTTGACGCAATAGGTGCAGTTGGATCCATTCCTATTGGTGCAGACGGACTTGGGTTACTTCGATTGCCGTTTGTTACTGTTGCTGCTTTTTGTGTTTGTGGTTGAGGAGTTGTTCTTTCTATCGTCATGGTTTGTTGTGGTATCTGGCTGTCGGTAGAAATATTCATAGACCCATAGATTTCTTTCAGAATCAGCAACATTGTGTCTTCAGAATTCCTAAAAATACGTTTTTAGTTAAGCGCCTCACATTTGAACATTTGCGTTTAAATTTACCAGTAGCAGACGTGACTAGTGAGGGCAAAAATATAGTCGTTGAATATCTCGAAAGGCGCTTCTTGTAAAACATAGTCGATTCGTCTACCTTTATTCAAGATCCCTAAAGATAAGCCTGTGGAATTTTGATCTTCACTTTGTTCTTCGTAAGCCACTTGGTTACTTTTTTCCGTTATTTCTTCTTCTATCACTTTATCCACTTCTGCTTCTAGCGTATTTTCATCTTCGCGCTTACTAAAATACGAGAAATGCAACAAAGATCCGATAGTGCTTCTCATAGAGTCCAATATTTTTTGCTTTAAGTCTGTTCCAACTCTAACCATCGTTTCTTTTAACTCTACAAATTAGAACAGTCATTAATAATTTTTTACTAACACTTGTATCTACTTTTGATTTGATTTTACCTAAATGCATACGTTTTCTCCCTTTATGGTGGGGAATTAAGACCGGTTTCAGACTTGACAGTTGTGGATTTATCAACGATTCGACGCGGTATGCTACCGGGTCATAAGGGTGAAAAATGTTGAAAAATGCTGGACACGTAGGCAGTGCAAAATCTTCACCTAAAGTATCCAATCCTCGAACCGTAACAAACATCCCTACATACGCGCAATTTAGTAATAATAGTAGTAATATTATAATCTTTCTTACCTATAGGCGACCCAAGGGCAAAGAATGCCTTTGGTTGAAAAGAAAGACGAGGGTAAATTAATTGTGGTTGACCCGTACCAGCAGCCGACATCATATAACTTATTCGTCTATTAAATTTCCTTTGGGATACTTCAGGTTTCAGTACAGTAGTGACTTCTTCTGAAAATAACATAACGGAAATAGTAATAAGTACGAACAATTAATGAATACCTTTCGGGGAATTTGTTTCTTCTTCCGAATCAGGATACTGATGTGAAAGTAAGTCAAAAAGAATAAGCGATCCTAGACTATGACCACCCAATGACACCCCACCGTTGAAAGAAGGATTTCGTTGTTTAAACAAATCGTATAATCTATTAAGTTCATTTCCAACCGTCGAAATAATTGTCTGTAAAACAATAACATCAAAAGTAAACGTACAAATTCTAATTTGAAATAAAAACAGAATACCTGACAATAAATTGGACTTGAATAAAACAGTATGTCGAGAAGAGTATTGTTTGTAAATTTTCGCAAACGTGGAATACTATCTAACGTAATACTTTTTAATTTTTTGTCGATCCCTGTCTCGTCTGAATGGAGCTGACTATGCCATCTAATAGGCAGTAATTCTATTCTGCTAGCTAACCCCCTTTCACAAGAAGACCTATAGTGCGATCGTACTAACTGGAGGGCTATACATCTGAAGTCTTCAACTAAAAGGACACCGTCAACGAAAATAAATTTTGAGTAACGAAAACAAAACGCCTACCAACTTCTTCGACACTTCGAAATTTTAAATCGCATGCAGCCCCGACACCATGAACTAAAAACAGTAAATGGTCAATCTCTTCCGGCTCTCCTTCGTCTATATCGAATTCGTCTAAGCCACGCTTCACTATTTTCTGCTTCGACTGCGTCTGTAAAAGAATACTCGTCAATCGTAAACTTATTTTAGCAAGAATAACGACAATATTTTACTGCGATATTATTGGAAGCGTCGCTTGGCTGAGTTGGATCAAGGAATACAATCATATCAGGACCGTGCAGCACTAGTATATCACCGTTTGGAAGATTAACCTTCTTGTTCCAACTATTAGATTCGTAAGCAGTCTTGTATTCTTCTTCTAGCATTGTGGCTATATTCTCTTCATAAGGCACAAAATGGGTTTCAGTTGCACGTTTGAAAAACCAAGAGCATCTCCTTACTTCAGTCGGAGAACTTTCCCAGTAAACGGCGTACCGTTCTCTTCGAAGGATGTTCACGTCATATCTTCCACCATCAGTAGCAACCACCTTATCGGGTGAGATATCGTCTAAAAGAAACATAAATTAAATACACAGTCAATTAGTTTTTCTATTAATATAGTTACGTGATGTAAAAACTGCCTCTAATTTGAGGGAATCTGCCATAGAAAACGTGGTCCAAATGACATCATCTGCGACTTTACGTTTATAAAACCAATGGTGATAAACCTCTCGGTATCCTGGATTAAAACTAGTCTGAAAATATTAGACAATAAAAAGGATTAGCCAATAAAGTACTTTAAAACTTTCATACATTGTTATGTGAGATGTTGGCATGTTTTTGGCTCGGATTTGAAGGAAACGGAATGTTTTGTGTCTGTTGAAGTTCTTCGAAAGGCATTGCTGACATAACAGGACTAGTTAGCTGAAGAGAGCTTTCAAGTAACGGAGACTTTGAAGGAGTCAAAATGTTCGCTCTGTTTTGATTTATATTTTGGAAATCGTTGGACACATTTCCAGCATTAGAAAATTGCGGAACATTCAAAGGCGGTGTTTCACCAACCGGATATAATTCCTGATTCTTAGGCTCAGGAAGATGAGGTACAGGTAATCCAGGTGAAAATATCTCCGGCGGAGACGTTGACAGCTGATTACTTAAAAGACCTGGTATTTGGGCATAAGTCGGTCGTTTCAAACCTGTACGTCTATAAGCATTCTTCGAAGCTACAAAAGACATTATTTCTTAGTCAGATTATCATTTTACACCTAAACACTTTTACAAATTACCAGTTAGTCGATGACTGTTTGATGTTTCACCAGCAAATGGAGGATGTTCGGCGGTGGGTCCCGAAGGAAAAAGTGGAACTGGTTGGGCAGTAGGGTGATTGTTCTCTAATTGAGTGGGATTGTAAAAAGGAATAGATTGCGTATCACTTACAACAGTTGGTGTAATTGAGTCATGTGATAAAGCAGGAGAAGAAGTTGATTGCGTCAAAGTCGGGTTAGATGCTGGTGCAAGGCTTTGTGAAAAAGCATCTCCAGGTGTAAATAGAGATGTAGGTGTTGTACCAGAATGCAAAATAGGGCTGTTGGAGAATAAATGAGGAAGGGTAGTTGGCGGGACTTGTGATGTTTGCGAAACGAGTGGTTGTATTGGGGTTGACGGAACTGTGGATGATTTATANATATATAAATATTAATTTTTTTTAACGAATCCAGAAATCGGAGGCGGCCCAATATTAATATTTGACGCAATAGGTGCAGTTGGATCCATTCCTATTGGTGCAGACGGACTTGGGTTACTTCGATTGCCGTTTGTTACTGTTGCTGCTTTTTGTGTTTGTGGTTGAGGAGTTGTTCTTTCTATCGTCATGGTTTGTTGTGGTATCTGGCTGTCGGTAGAAATATTCATAGACCCATAGATTTCTTTCAGAATCAGCAACATTGTGTCTTCAGAATTCCTAAAAATACGTTTTTAGTTAAGCGCCTCACATTTGAACATTTGCGTTTAAATTTACCAGTAGCAGACGTGACTAGTGAGGGCAAAAATATAGTCGTTGAATATCTCGAAAGGCGCTTCTTGTAAAACATAGTCGATTCGTCTACCTTTATTCAAGATCCCTAAAGATAAGCCTGTGGAATTTTGATCTTCACTTTGTTCTTCGTAAGCCACTTGGTTACTTTTTTCCGTTATTTCTTCTTCTATCACTTTATCCACTTCTGCTTCTAGCGTATTTTCATCTTCGCGCTTACTAAAATACGAGAAATGCAACAAAGATCCGATAGTGCTTCTCATAGAGTCCAATATTTTTTGCTTTAAGTCTGTTCCAACTCTAACCATCGTTTCTTTTAACTCTACAAATTAGAACAGTCATTAATAATTTTTTACTAACACTTGTATCTACTTTTGATTTGATTTTACCTAAATGCATACGTTTTCTCCCTTTATGGTGGGGAATTAAGACCGGTTTCAGACTTGACAGTTGTGGATTTATCAACGATTCGACGCGGTATGCTACCGGGTCATAAGGGTGAAAAATGTTGAAAAATGCTGGACACGTAGGCAGTGCAAAATCTTCACCTAAAGTATCCAATCCTCGAACCGTAACAAACATCCCTACATACGCGCAATTTAGTAATAATAGTAGTAATATTATAATCTTTCTTACCTATAGGCGACCCAAGGGCAAAGAATGTGACCCCAGAACTAGTTCTATTAATGAAAAAACTATGGGCAGACCCTGGGGTGCAGTTATGTTTCGCTAGATCCAGGGAATATCAATTAAATGACTCAGCAGGGTACTACTTAAATGCACTTGACCGTATTTCCCAACCAAACTATGTACCAACACAGCAGGATGTATTGAGAACCAGAGTTAAAACAACAGGAATTGTAGAGACACATTTCTCATTTAAAGGATTGCATTTTAAGTAAGTTAATGTTGTTATATGTAGTAAAGGTTTATACTACTCAGTACAAACAATTTATAGGATGTTTGATGTTGGAGGACAAAGATCTGAGAGAAAGAAGTGGATTCACTGTTTTGAAGGAGTTACAGCAATTATATTCTGTGTAGCTCTCTCTGGTATGTCAATTGTGTCTGATTCTGGTTTGAAGAAATTAATATTTCTTTATCAATATTAGGGTATGACCTGGTTCTTGCTGAAGATGAGGAAATGAATAGAATGATAGAGTCAATGAAACTATTCGATTCCATTTGTAATAGCAAATGGTTCGTTTCCACGTCGATTATACTGTTCCTAAATAAAAAAGATCTATTCGAACAAAAAATTACCAGAAGCCCACTGACTATATGCTTCCCAGAATATACGGGGCCGAACACATACGAGGATGCGTCAGCTTATATCCAAATGAAGTTTGAAGATTTGAACAAAAGAAAAGATCAAAAAGAGATCTACACCCATTTTACATGTGCCACTGATACGACAAATATCCAATTCGTTTTTGACGCAGTCACCGACGTTATCATAAAAAATAACTTAAAAGACTGCGGCCTTTTAATGTAATGTCAGTTTTCTCTCTCTCTCTCTCACACACACACGCTCTTCATAAAATAATTCGTTTATATGTTGCATAAGCTGTAGTAATACAAACAAACGGCTAATTTTTAAAACAAACTTGATACAAATCATGTTTACATGTCATATTTACAAACATTTGAATGTAATAACAATAACAGCTTTTTATACACTACGAATTTACACATCGCGTTATAGCCCATGACTTTTTCGTGATATATTTATTTTTATACAATGCTGAATCTCCTAGCCAAATATATTTAAAGTCATTCCAATATGTCACGGAACTTTTAATACGTTTTCATCGAAGGCAAAAACTTTTTCAACGATATTTTATTGATTACAATACGTCACTGCCAAAAATCTTCATGAAAAAAGGTCTCGATCATGTTCAGGGAGAGACAAATTTTAGGCCTTAAGTTTCGAATATACAACGTACAAAATGCACCCTGTTGACATTTTGCAGAATCTCTAGGCAATTCGTTAATTTCGTAAACGTTTTAGATCTTTACTGTAATGTATTTATTGCGAAGATAGGTAATAATTTTTTTCGTTAGAAAATTATTTTCTTTGTTTGGTAAATAAGCAATTTTTGTTTTCGTCGAATTATAATGTTTGAAAATTAGCAACGAGGTGATTTAATCGTGAAAAAGGACGGACCAATTTGTGTGGTTGCAAAGAAAAAAAGAAAAAAATAAATACTAGTAATCTCAAGAAGTATTTAATGGAAGTATTAACGTTGCATTTATTTTTGACGTAACTAGCAAGTCTGAAGTGAATTTTTTCACTCGAAATAAACTAATTAAAACGTAAACTTGTCTTAAAACGTACAGTATTTAAAATTTTCAAGTAAATAATAAGCAGCTATGTTATATTACTATTACTAAATGCATAATAATAATAATAATAATAATAATATGATTGATGTTAATCGTTACAATTTTTAGATGTTTTCTAAACATTAAATGTATGTATGCGTTTTTTCAAAACTTGGTAATCTATATGCAATGCCGAATAGCAAAAAAAAAAAAGTAGTTTTCCAAAAGACTGTCGTAATATTCTTCTCTGAAAATATGTCATGATGATCTAGCCTTACACGTAAAGTTGATTGGAAATTATTTTTTATAAGTGTATATACATGTTTCAGAGTACTTTAACTATATCTTTTCTAGTTATATATTTTTGTATACAATAAAGCATCTAATAAATGTGTAGTATTCAACTTCGTTTATCATTATCGTCTTAACAACGTATTCGCAATCATTTTTAAGAGTGGAGTATTGAATGACAAAAATCTACAAAATATTTTTTCTTTTTATTAATAAGACTAAATTGTATAAAAATATATATACAACATAGTTATATATAAATATTAATTTTTTTTAACGAATCCAGAAATCGGAGGCGGCCCAATATTAATATTTGACGCAATAGGTGCAGTTGGATCCATTCCTATTGGTGCAGACGGACTTGGGTTACTTCGATTGCCGTTTGTTACTGTTGCTGCTTTTTGTGTTTGTGGTTGAGGAGTTGTTCTTTCTATCGTCATGGTTTGTTGTGGTATCTGGCTGTCGGTAGAAATATTCATAGACCCATAGATTTCTTTCAGAATCAGCAACATTGTGTCTTCAGAATTCCTAAAAATACGTTTTTAGTTAAGCGCCTCACATTTGAACATTTGCGTTTAAATTTACCAGTAGCAGACGTGACTAGTGAGGGCAAAAATATAGTCGTTGAATATCTCGAAAGGCGCTTCTTGTAAAACATAGTCGATTCGTCTACCTTTATTCAAGATCCCTAAAGATAAGCCTGTGGAATTTTGATCTTCACTTTGTTCTTCGTAAGCCACTTGGTTACTTTTTTCCGTTATTTCTTCTTCTATCACTTTATCCACTTCTGCTTCTAGCGTATTTTCATCTTCGCGCTTACTAAAATACGAGAAATGCAACAAAGATCCGATAGTGCTTCTCATAGAGTCCAATATTTTTTGCTTTAAGTCTGTTCCAACTCTAACCATCGTTTCTTTTAACTCTACAAATTAGAACAGTCATTAATAATTTTTTACTAACACTTGTATCTACTTTTGATTTGATTTTACCTAAATGCATACGTTTTCTCCCTTTATGGTGGGGAATTAAGACCGGTTTCAGACTTGACAGTTGTGGATTTATCAACGATTCGACGCGGTATGCTACCGGGTCATAAGGGTGAAAAATGTTGAAAAATGCTGGACACGTAGGCAGTGCAAAATCTTCACCTAAAGTATCCAATCCTCGAACCGTAACAAACATCCCTACATACGCGCAATTTAGTAATAATAGTAGTAATATTATAATCTTTCTTACCTATAGGCGACCCAAGGGCAAAGAATGCCTTTGGTTGAAAAGAAAGACGAGGGTAAATTAATTGTGGTTGACCCGTACCAGCAGCCGACATCATATAACTTATTCGTCTATTAAATTTCCTTTGGGATACTTCAGGTTTCAGTACAGTAGTGACTTCTTCTGAAAATAACATAACGGAAATAGTAATAAGTACGAACAATTAATGAATACCTTTCGGGGAATTTGTTTCTTCTTCCGAATCAGGATACTGATGTGAAAGTAAGTCAAAAAGAATAAGCGATCCTAGACTATGACCACCCAATGACACCCCACCGTTGAAAGAAGGATTTCGTTGTTTAAACAAATCGTATAATCTATTAAGTTCATTTCCAACCGTCGAAATAATTGTCTGTAAAACAATAACATCAAAAGTAAACGTACAAATTCTAATTTGAAATAAAAACAGAATACCTGACAATAAATTGGACTTGAATAAAACAGTATGTCGAGAAGAGTATTGTTTGTAAATTTTCGCAAACGTGGAATACTATCTAACGTAATACTTTTTAATTTTTTGTCGATCCCTGTCTCGTCTGAATGGAGCTGACTATGCCATCTAATAGGCAGTAATTCTATTCTGCTAGCTAACCCCCTTTCACAAGAAGACCTATAGTGCGATCGTACTAACTGGAGGGCTATACATCTGAAGTCTTCAACTAAAAGGACACCGTCAACGAAAATAAATTTTGAGTAACGAAAACAAAACGCCTACCAACTTCTTCGACACTTCGAAATTTTAAATCGCATGCAGCCCCGACACCATGAACTAAAAACAGTAAATGGTCAATCTCTTCCGGCTCTCCTTCGTCTATATCGAATTCGTCTAAGCCACGCTTCACTATTTTCTGCTTCGACTGCGTCTGTAAAAGAATACTCGTCAATCGTAAACTTATTTTAGCAAGAATAACGACAATATTTTACTGCGATATTATTGGAAGCGTCGCTTGGCTGAGTTGGATCAAGGAATACAATCATATCAGGACCGTGCAGCACTAGTATATCACCGTTTGGAAGATTAACCTTCTTGTTCCAACTATTAGATTCGTAAGCAGTCTTGTATTCTTCTTCTAGCATTGTGGCTATATTCTCTTCATAAGGCACAAAATGGGTTTCAGTTGCACGTTTGAAAAACCAAGAGCATCTCCTTACTTCAGTCGGAGAACTTTCCCAGTAAACGGCGTACCGTTCTCTTCGAAGGATGTTCACGTCATATCTTCCACCATCAGTAGCAACCACCTTATCGGGTGAGATATCGTCTAAAAGAAACATAAATTAAATACACAGTCAATTAGTTTTTCTATTAATATAGTTACGTGATGTAAAAACTGCCTCTAATTTGAGGGAATCTGCCATAGAAAACGTGGTCCAAATGACATCATCTGCGACTTTACGTTTATAAAACCAATGGTGATAAACCTCTCGGTATCCTGGATTAAAACTAGTCTGAAAATATTAGACAATAAAAAGGATTAGCCAATAAAGTACTTTAAAACTTTCATACATTGTTATGTGAGATGTTGGCATGTTTTTGGCTCGGATTTGAAGGAAACGGAATGTTTTGTGTCTGTTGAAGTTCTTCGAAAGGCATTGCTGACATAACAGGACTAGTTAGCTGAAGAGAGCTTTCAAGTAACGGAGACTTTGAAGGAGTCAAAATGTTCGCTCTGTTTTGATTTATATTTTGGAAATCGTTGGACACATTTCCAGCATTAGAAAATTGCGGAACATTCAAAGGCGGTGTTTCACCAACCGGATATAATTCCTGATTCTTAGGCTCAGGAAGATGAGGTACAGGTAATCCAGGTGAAAATATCTCCGGCGGAGACGTTGACAGCTGATTACTTAAAAGACCTGGTATTTGGGCATAAGTCGGTCGTTTCAAACCTGTACGTCTATAAGCATTCTTCGAAGCTACAAAAGACATTATTTCTTAGTCAGATTATCATTTTACACCTAAACACTTTTACAAATTACCAGTTAGTCGATGACTGTTTGATGTTTCACCAGCAAATGGAGGATGTTCGGCGGTGGGTCCCGAAGGAAAAAGTGGAACTGGTTGGGCAGTAGGGTGATTGTTCTCTAATTGAGTGGGATTGTAAAAAGGAATAGATTGCGTATCACTTACAACAGTTGGTGTAATTGAGTCATGTGATAAAGCAGGAGAAGAAGTTGATTGCGTCAAAGTCGGGTTAGATGCTGGTGCAAGGCTTTGTGAAAAAGCATCTCCAGGTGTAAATAGAGATGTAGGTGTTGTACCAGAATGCAAAATAGGGCTGTTGGAGAATAAATGAGGAAGGGTAGTTGGCGGGACTTGTGATGTTTGCGAAACGAGTGGTTGTATTGGGGTTGACGGAACTGTGGATGATTTATATGAAGCTGCTGTAATTGACGGCGGTGGTAAGGGTTGATTTGCTGGTGACTGAAATAAGTCAGACGAAACGGGACTTGTAAAAGATGGTGCAGAATTTGCAACAAGAAAGTTTGCCGAAGTGTCAGAACTGGAGAAAAACGAAGAAAATATGTTTTCTTTCGATTTATGAATTATGCCTTCTTTTTGTTGAGGAGATTGATGCAAACTGTGTTGACCTGCCTCTTGGTTACTTATCGTTGTAGGATGTACTAGAATAACAGAAAAACCATTACTTCGTTAGCGCATTGATTACAGTAGAATTTTCTCAACTTTTACAAACAAGACAAATATGACCCATTGTAAAAGAAACACTTTCACGGATAAATAGATTACAGAAGGTAAGAACGATGATCGGAAATGATATTTACATATTGATTAGATGCTCGTATACATCGGCGGTAATATACAGACCCAGTTTATGCAAAACTAACAAAAACTAACTAATATCCGCTCCAACCCATTGAAAACACGTCATTAAATAAGTACATGACTTTTCTTGTTTCACTTTTTCAATTAGTAGATTTTCATCTTTTGGCCAGTTGAAGACTTGTAATCGTTTTAAGATGATAACCGTATTGGGTCTGATATTACTGTTAAGCGGCGTTTTTGGCTTTTATAATGATAATACTGGAACAGATTGGGAACTTATTGAAACCAACGGGATTAGCAAAAGTAAAATGACCAAATCTGTAATAAGTAACGAGATTGTGCAACAACAATCCTTAGACATACCGCTAAAATCAGAAATTGTAGAGGATTTGGAAGAATTGTATCTTAATTCTCTTCTAACACAAGTAAGTAAATCATTCATATACTTACGAATCTATGTGTATGCTATTTTTGAATTAAAATTATCTCAATATGGCTGAATTTATTAAACGAAATAGATGGTTATTTTTGAAAACAATTAGCTACAGTAGTAGTTTTTGGGCAAATCCCAAGTAGATCATCCAATTAAAGACTCTCAGATATTTGCCATTGATTTTTGCCGATCTGGTTTCAATAAATTCTTTTTGGCAGCAGGATGACTATCTACTAAAATAAACATCATTTTAAAAGCAGGACAAGGTTTCGATTTTAATGTTAGTGGGTTGTTGTATTCCTTTGCATCATTGAGCCTTTTTCAGATTTCAGGATGCTCTCCTTGATTTTCAGGTTGCATCCGGAAATACGTCTCTCATTAATTCGGGCTTGCCTTTGATGAATGGTATAAAAAATGCCAACCTCATTTTTCCCACCGGTAAGAAAAACAATCCAAACATCTAGACGAGGATGCTTTCTTATGTTGCATAATTGCGTATGTTTATTTACATCAATCAAAAATAGGACAGTAGGACATAAATTCCACTTTATTTTATAACACCTCATACATCATTAATTCTCCTACTAAACATTTGCAAAGCATCGGTTTTAATTACTTACTTAATTCTTGAATTTAAAGAATAAGAATAACCCAAGTGGGTCAAGGATATTTATTCGCAATATCAGAGTGATATCATTATTATCGCAGCACAGATATTTACGTCACAATAGTCTTTAATCAAAATATACTTATTATGACGAAGAAAAGTGTTGATAGATAGCAAGACGAAAGTAAATAGGGAAGACTAAAAAAGAAAAAAATAATGTGGTACTAAATAGCAAGTGGAAAAATCGCATTCAGGATCCGGAAATTTTGTACCTACTTTAGTTAGTGTCACATATTGGCGTTGTAATAACGACTTGGCCAAAAAATAAATAAATTAAATCGAAACGACGCCAACTTTACAGTTTCGCTGCAGTTAAAACGTCAAACAAAATGTTTTCAAACTGAGATAATACATTTGCTAATTGCTAGTGTTTTGAGAATTTATTAATGTCGCGTTTTCATGAAAGTACCAAAATGAAAATATGATGATTACGATAAATCTTGAACAATTAATTCATCTTTTTACCTACTAATGAACTTTGAGTTGACTGAGATTTAGCAGTAAAATCATAAAATAAAAACTTTGTTGCTCTTAACAACGAGAGCGATTATTTTTATTAAATTAACAACTAGTTCGATTATTTAATACGACTAATAAGCGATCACCTTAAATTATTGCACAAAACATTTTGAGGAAAAGTAACCGCAAACTATCACAAGAAAGTCTTGACACCAATTTAAAATACCGTCTAACTATTAATAGAATTGCTTCTTAAATCTCTTCGTTAGAATAGACAAAAATAAGATCGCAGCGGACATTACTTTTCAGCACTTACAGCATCAGTACTATATCCTTTAGTGTCAACTTGACGTTGTATGTATATTCAGGTTTACCAATAAAACAGAATCTCGTTTAACACTTAAAAATAAAATCCGGAAGCACGAAAGTGTCACACATGTAAATATCGGTCACCATTCGGCTCGGCTCTGCGGTTAGCTCCGACCCTTTCAAAACACAAAAATAGACTTCGCACTTTTCATTTAATGATGGACAATTATTACGTAAAAGGCGGAATTGCAAAATGACCTTCTCAAAAACAAATTACACTTACGATTAACATAAAGCGCTACAAATTGTCATACTACGTTAATACCAATACCACATAGCTTTTGCAGCGCAAAATCAAATCAATAAACAAGAAAGATAGGAAGCAACCACAACAAAGTGCGAAGTCAGCGCACATTGGCGTACAAATAAGACGTTCAATTAATTTATTATTAACATTTTCCGGCCTTTGTTCTTCATAACATTTGCAGCGAAAAATCTAACAGCTTCGAGGCTTTCGGGGCTTCGAGGACCAAAGCTGTTTGGGCTTGGAGCTTTTATACTGAAAGCATCGCTCGGCTCTACTAACAACTTCTTTTTTTCACTCGTAAATATCCAATATACACTTTGTTCCTCGAAAACATCACTTTATTCAAATTTAGAGAGTGGATACTATAATGTTAACTCAGGAGGAGCGTATGAATCAGTATCGATCGAAGTAGGTCTTGCTTCCGAGCTTCAGACATTCCCCAATCAGCGTCCAAAAATCTATTTCGAAGTGACCAATAATCGAACACAGTCGATATTACTTTTGTTCAAATGCGAGGACACAAAGGGCATTCTATTCACCACATGGCCGCTCAAGTAAGTGGAAAGAAAAAAGCCATTTGAAAATGAAAACGATGATAATTTACAGAGCTTGGTTAGGAGCAGGAGAAAAAACTGTTGTGACAGTTACTTTATGGGCCAGAGGAAGTGTAGACATGGATTACCAAGACCAGGTTACTTTACATGCGATTTCAGTGAGTTCGAAATGGGAAAAATCGGTTATAGTTTACGTTAACAGTCAAAAGCTTTCGGAATATACACAGCCATCTATCACGTACGATTTGGTTAATGATTGCTATAAAGTCCTTGTAGGTTCTTGCCAAGATGCCACGTGGTCAGCGGAAATCGTAGTGCAGGACCCTGATTCTGGTAATTGCGATTCAGAAGGAGTCATTTTAATGTTGTTTCGTTACGACTGTGGTTATTTGTTTTTCTTTTTGTAAGGGTGCAAAGGTCAGAATTACATGCATTAAACAGTTTACACAGTATGCACAACAAATGAGAAATGACTAATAAGCTTTTTTAATCGTATTACAAAGACACAAAGTAATTTAATTGCGTAATCCATTACTCACTATTTACATACAAATATTTCAATTGCATGGAAATAAAAGAAACACAGCTGCTGATAAAAGAAAAACTGGAAAATAACTCTCTACACGAAACCAACAGAACATCCTTTTTCTCATATTTAATCGATAAAATGCTTTTGTTTAGGTTTACTTCGTGTTACTTCTGATCCCCAAGGAGTTTATTTTCCATTCAAATACGCAACGGGCACACAGAATTTAGTAAAAGGATATTATTCAGCATCATGTTGTCAAAGCAGGGTAAAAATAATGGCAACAGATTTAAAAATGAATATATCAACCAGAGAAATCAGCGCTTACGGTTTGTGTTTTTAAAAAATGGAAAAAGACAACGCATTTACATTTCATACATTTTAGAATTGAAGATCTGGGTGATAGCAGTTATAGTAATATCATCAATTGTTTTTCTTGCATTAATAATTGGTTTAGTAGTATGGATAGTAATTAAAAAACAAAAGGTGTCCGTGGATTTACCAGTGTACCGAGGGTCTCGTACAAATACTTCTCCATAAGTGTATTGATTAAGTAGATATAAGAAAAACCACTGCATAATTATTACAGATTTTCATATTTATTTATCTTACTGTAAGGCAGGGACGTAATTACAGGTGTCGGCCGAAGTTACAGACCGTTTTAGTGGCATCGGATCCACCAAGTACCTCCACTGTACCTCTCTACCACAAGAGAATAGTTGAGGTACTGTATCGAACTCTCTCGACCATATTTTTGGAGTACAGAGGTACAGTAGAGAGGCTCTATGGAGCCGATCTCACTAAAATCTGCAGCGAAAGCACACAGTGTAAACCAGCAATTACTATCCCTGTCCAAATAGGTGCGTAATTGTGCATTTGTACCATAGCGTTATAGTGAGATCGGTTCCACCAAAAGCCTCAACTGTACCTCTCTGCCGCAAGAGGCTACTTGAGATTCTGTATCGACCTCTTTTTCTTAACTATACTTTTGCGGGCATAGGTACAATGAAGACGCCTGCCAGAATATATCTAACTAAAACACTTACCAATTTAATTGCGTAACTTCCGGTCTACACTATGCCTTTTTTTACCACAACGTTATAGTGGGATCGGTTTCAGCAGAAGCTTTAACTGTATCTCTGCCGCAAGAGAATAATTGAGGTACTGTATCGAACTCTCTCGACCATGTTTTTGGAGTACAGACGTACAGTAGAAGGGCTCTATGGAGCCGATCTCACTAAAATCTGCGGCGAAAGCACACAGTGTAAACCAGCAATTACTATTCCTGTCCAAATAGGTGGGTAATTGTGCATTTGTACCATAGCGTTATAGTGAGATCGGTTCCACCAAAAGCCTCAACTGTACCTCTGCCGCAAGAGGCTACTTGAGATTCTGTATCGACCTCTTTTTCTTAACTATACTTTTGCGGGCAGAGGTACAATGAAGACGCTTGGCAGAATAGATCTAACTAAAACACTTCCCAATTTAATTGCGTAACTGCCGGTCTACACTACGCGTTTCACCGCAGCGTTATAGTGGGATCGGTTCCACCAAAAGCCTCAACTGCATCTCTGTGCCGCAAGAGAATAGTTGAGGTACTGTATCGAACTCTCTCTCTCTCGACTACACTTTTGGGGTACAGAGGTGCAATAAAGGCGCTCTATATCATATCACACTAAAGAGGTGTAACTATCGGTCTACTCTGTGCGTTTTCACCGCAACGTTTTACTGGCATCGGTTCCACTAAGCACCTCTACTGTACCTCTGTGCCGCAAGAGGATAGTTGAGGTACTGTATCGAACTCTCTCTTTCTCTCTAGAAGCTGCAGCGAAAAAGCTGTAGGTGCGTAATTACCGGTCTATTCCGTGCATTTTCGCAGCAGCACTTTAGAGGGATTTGTTCAACCATGAGTCTCCATTGTTCCTCTATGCCGCAGAAGTATAATCGAGATACTGTATCGACCTTTATCTCCCGTTTATACTTTTTGGAGTACGGTGATACAATTGGGGGTGCTTGTTATATGGAACCTAAAATCTACAATGGTGTGGTCAACCGTTTAGTGCTTGCAGAAAAAATAGCTACGTCCCTGCTGAAAGGTATCACACCAAATAATTTTGAATGTCCCTCGTATATACAGTCTGTATTGTACCTTTTTAACAACAGATGGAACCAGAATTCAGTTAATGTCAAAAATTAACAGATGTTTAGATTAAAAAAAGCTGTGTTTGTAATTACTACGTAAAGGTGTTATAAATTGAATTAAAAATGCTCATCAACGTTTATTCTTACATACCACTTTGATCACTTTTTTCGGGAATTTCCTGCGCTACTAATAATTTCGCATTTTGCGTAAAATCCTCAACAGTTGCACCAGTAACCGAGGCACTAAATAAAGGATTATTAATTTTTTTCGTCGTGTTACTATTTTTTGACATTTTTTGTACACGATAACTAATTTCACTGCCACATCCGACTCTACACCAAATTCCTTCTATTGAAACAAATTGAGTAGCCTTGACTAATCACACTTGTAGAATACGATAAGAATACAACTGAAGGTTGCTAAACACATTTAATTATCTAAACGACTTGTTTGTTCGACAGATGGCGACATTGTTAAATTTTTCAGAATTTTACTCAATTTTGAAAAAGTCAATGACACAAACGCGCAAACAGGATTTTAGCGCCCACAATTTCAAGAATTAGATATTGATTAAAACAAAAATACAAAATATAATTCTTTATCAATTTATTGAGAACTAATCGGTTTAGTGGAATTACGTTTAATTAATAATAAAAATATAGGCAAATTACACAAATATTTTTCTAAATTGTTGTACCCATCCGAGCATGGACGATTAGTTTTAATATCATTGTTTATCAAGAGGGATATTTGTACGATTATTAAATTATTATAATGATTGCATGAAGTGCGGAAAATTTTGATGTTTTTATGAGGAAAATTACCTGCAATTTTGTTGTTTTTCTAAAAATAAATCGGAAAGATTTGGTTTATTTCTCTCTGATAGTGTGTAGGTATGTAGGAGTAGGACTATTAGTTTTAGTTACCTACCAGCGTGTGCATTAAAATTAAGCGTTGTTCAACTATTACATCATCTCCGAGGTGTTTGAACAATTACTCGTTTCAACTGGATGATTAAGTTAAAAACAAGCCAGCTCCGATTTTCGTGGTTTGCTATTGGAATGTAAATGTTTCCGGATAGATACCACGACCCTCGGCTGCCGTGTCAAAGGCATTACAAACCGCACACAGACGTCGCGTCGGTCATTCTGCCAAAGAACATTGAACGCCGATAAAATATTAAACTTTGACTTTACACCTGGCGCTTATCCTCAACATATTTTTTTTTTTTGGTTGTCATACGCTCATCAGTTACCTGCTGGGTGCGCACGTCCAACTTTTATTCGATTCAGTAAATTACCTTCATATTATGTAGTTTTCTTCGAAAAGCTCTAGTAAACCATTGGTCTATGATGATGAATATAGTAATGTTACAAAAATTGTTGACGTATTTTGTGTTTTATTTTAGAGCAAGGAAAATATCTTGTGCAATTGTCTTTTCGATAATATTACGCCACAAAATGTTTTGACTAATAAACACGATTGATCTTAATCAAATAAGAAATGTATTTACGATTGGTTAAAAATAGAGCATCGTGATAATGGTCTGTTATTTTTAGAATTTTTCCGCTTCTTTTTGTTTTTCGTATTAATCTTATGTAAGTAAGTGATAAATACATAAGCAGAAACAAACAGTTGAGCATTCGCATGACGAGGATTATAAAAGCGAAAACAAAAAATATTTATTAATTTCAAGTCAAAAAATAAGTTGCGGATTTCTGCCTTGCAATACTCGGATCCCTTTTCTCTATTTAAACACGACAAACACTTGCCCCAACGGGGGCCCCGGGACAATGGCCTGCTTCAATAAAATATAATCACAGTAATCGAATGTTGTGCTTTTTACGTGTGGCGCGGCTAAAACTGTTAGCAAGGTACTTTTTGCTTTTTGTTGAACACTCAGAAAAGTTTTAGGAATCGAGGTGATTCCACGGATTTTCCTATCGCGCAACAATTTAAGTAGTTTCTCTAAATATATCCACAAATAAATATACGACATAGGTATTGTATGTGCGCACGTCTTTTCAGCCTGCGGTAACTTTAGATTCGATACGTAAAATTCATTCATATAAAACAAGTTACAAAATTACTTAAGTCTTAAAGGCTTACGTTTAGTTATGGCGCTACGATCAACTAACAAAAGTATCGTCGAAATTCGGACGAGTTACGACTGGTTAAAATATATTGTTTTTATGACGGATTTATATTCTTAATTACATCATTTATACTGTTTGTTTATGTAGGTGTATGTTCTTATATCATTTAAAAACAAAATAAAGGAAAATTTGTTTGAGACGATAAAGAATATTTTTTTGCGTTTCAAGTACATATTTTGTTTTATAGTCCGGCGCATGTAAGCATTATTGTTTACTCAGAACGGAGATTTTCTTGACATTGGATCGCGTATATATATGCTGTCAGTAATAATAATAATGTATCAAATAAATAGTCAAAAATAAACGAAAACACAATCGAAGATATGATGAAGCATGTAGATGCAACGTCGTCCAAGTAACCTTGCTAGGTTTTCGACCTGACTATATTACGAAATTCTCGTTTACGACATTTAGCGAATAAACATTTTTAAAAATGTAAACGACCTTTGTTTATCGACAAAAAGTATCAGGCGTACATACGTACGTTCAATAAGAAACTAACAATTATGTACCTAGATTTCCATATCTTTGTTAGACGCTATTCACGATGCGTATGTAACTTTTTTTGTACATACGTTGACTCACGAGGAAATTCTTCTTGAAAAAGTTCCTGGCGCCTTCAGCTTGTTTTTGTTTCAACGACGTTGACGCGCAAAATTTCAGTGAATGAGTTGCGAAATATACACGTTTTATGTAATATGCACACATGTGCCCATCGATAAAATAAAAAGCACTTCTAGAAATTCTAGATTAGTTAGGTATATCGTCTCTATATTGGAATTATCTAATCTAGGTTCAGTGTACATAAATACTTATCAGACAATAGCGTCAACTCACGCATTGATATTATCAATTCAAAAAAATCAATTTGGCCGTTTTAAAAATTTCTCGTTATAGCCTAAGGTTCTTGACATCCATGTTCAATGTACTTACTACGTGTACCATGTAAATTCGTTTGTTTAAAATGGTCCGGTCATTATTGTATGTAAATGTTTGCGCATCTTTCTTTCCAAGTGGCTAGTAATTCAGTAACAAACACTGATATTTATAGAATTTTTGAGTTGAATTGTGGTGCTATCGCGTATAAATACCCATGACGCATCACTACAGCCCCACACCAATTACCAATCACCAACAAGCACGTCGCGAATTGCGCAACGGAATTGAGACTGGTCATGAACTAATCAGAATCTAATACTCACCTTTTGTTAAAAAGAGAAGCACACAAAGAACAATCGAATAAAACAATGGATTTTTTACAGAAAAATTCTTCCTTTATTTCGTACATACATATAGTAGTATATAGGATACATATTCCGGTAATATGAAAATAAAGACATTTTCGTGTAGTGTATCGCTTTTAGATAGTTTAAATTAAATTTGAGACCGAGAAACGCAATCGCAAACATTTTCGCCGATTGTCGGTGTTCACTGCTCAACGTCTTACATAAAATTCTAAGTATAAATAATTCTACATATGATAAATAGTTAACAATCACACGTCGGTTTTTTTAATAATAAATATGTAAAGGTAGTTAATAATATAGTACGAATAGTGAAAAGTAATCGAAAATGCAATCATATTATCGTCTGGAACAGCTGCGTAATAACATAAAAAATAAAGCGACCAAATTACATTGCACCATACTGTAGGATCAATGGAAGTAAAAAAAAAAACGAAAATGATTAAAGCAATATGTTGGCAAATATTCAAGCACATCGGTTAAATTAGTGACACACAAATAATACAAAGACTTTTTCTGAATCGATAAAAATACAATCCTTTCTTTCGTTCTTTTAATTTTCACAGTCCACACAATAAATAACTAATAACTAACAAATATCGTGGCGACACATCTCATCCGTTTTGGTCAGTCAAATATAATACAAAAAACTTAACAGCTTTTTCCATAATCACAAGATCACACGACGTCGCCAACTTTAGCGTTTCGTAGGCGACGATTCCTTTCCTTCTTTGTTCCTAATCATAATTGATTTCAAGTGTGCTACTTCTGACGATAAACGCACTATTTCCGAATGCAAACGATTTTTGGCATCAGCATCTCCATCGTTCGCTTCCTGAAGCACCGCTTGAGACTGTTTCTGTAGATTTTGTAAAGTAACTGCAGCTTGGGATGCAGACCATTCGCCCCCTAGCGATATACCGGAATCTCTTTCGTCGCTGGAGCCCTCGGCATCCCAAGGGGGGCTTGCCCTAGAACTGGGCTCTTGTTTAATGTGCTGCAACGAAAGTAGAGCATTCGCCGCATCTTTGTCTCCCAAATGAGACTTGTGCCTAAGTTTTAAAGGGAGACTGTTGTTAGCCTCGGTCGTTGTTAATGCAATCGGCGCACTTTCGTCTCCGGAATTACTGGACACTTCGTAAGGGGATTGGGCTCTTGATCGGGACCTCGAGAGATTTAAAGCACTGTTGCTGTTGTCACAATGAGTAGGTGAGGTGTGGTACGGCGGGAAGTTGCACATATTGTATTCTGTGTGATCCCTGTACGATGGTTCATGGTGGGGAGGATGGTGGAGGACTGTGTGCGTAGGGATTTGTGGTGGAGGCGACGGGCCCAAGACCGGCTGATGTATCACAGATGTGGGAATTGGGCTGGGATTCGGCCGACTGAAAAGCATCGCAGGTGGAGTGGTCAATTTCTGTCTTTTTGTTATGCTGAGAACTTGTTCGTTTGTTGGTAAGCTAGCCATTACTTTTTCTAAACAGACTATGTTCTCTCCGCAAATTCCAAATTCTTCCCGTATTGCCTCCAACTGGGCCTTGAGAATAGCATTTTCTTTGGTAAGTTCAACTACTCGTTGTTCCAGTACCATATCGTTAAACCGTCTTTTCTCGCGAGATCTTTTGGCCGCTTCATTGTTACGTCGCCTCCTGTCCCAGTAACTGTCGTCCTTCTTGCTATCAGGGATAAACTCCCGTTGCTTCCGTTGACTGAAGAGCTCTTTGTGTTTTATTTGTGACGCCATGCCGTAATTCTGAAAGCCATCGCCGTTCGGGGAAGGATTCGACGATGTCATCATGCTTTCGTGGCCGTGACTAGCCGGCATACTTGAGTTCAAGTGAGGGATTTCACCATTAACAGGAGACCCACTCTGACCGCGACCCATCAATTCGGCAACCATTATACGCTGGTTAATAACATCTGTAACAAAAGAGATAACTTCTTAGTCATCGCAACGCTACAGCATTTCGAGAGTGTTGGCTTTATCAGCAATTAGCAGAAACGTCATAGAAAATTCTCAACCCCGCAGTAGCGTAAATATAGCCGCTGACCCTTGAAGAGGTCATTGCCTAACCCCTCCACACATAATTATGTGCAAACGTTTGTTTGGCGCCAGCAACGGATGTGATTCAGTTTTAACCACATCATCCAGGCATATATACAGATCGTATATTAATTTCTAATATAGCAACACTTTAATTAATATACATTTGTATACGTGTATCTGACGCAATTTAAATGATTCTATCATCTAACTAACTAACTCATCATCGTTGATTTCTCATAGTTTTTTTTGTTGTTGTTATTCCGTAAAGTTATGAAATTCGTTCGTCACAACAATGACTACATAATGAATAAAAATAAATCGTAAACATGATAATCAAAAGGATCCACTCGAGGCGTTCGACAACAAATTAAACGGCCAAGTGTGTGGACGGAACGAGCTCATGTCGAAAAACTTCCACGTCCTTTAAGCCAAACTTGCAGTTATCAATGTTCGTTTTACGTACAGCAACACATACCTACAAGAATGTTTTCGACAAAAGTGGAAATGATAAATCATTATGTATATTAGGTATGCGTAATATCAGCAAAACGGGACAAGAATTAGGTATACGTTATTACGACATGATATTTTGTAATAGCCACGAACAAAGCCACGATATGACAAATAACTATAAAGTATGTATATCATAATGCAATACAGATTTTTTTCTGAAACTATTATATATACAATATAATATACCTACATACGTCTACATGTATGCTTTTAGTAGGTATTGTAAAATGTTGGGGAAATACAGAAGTACCCATATTTCCATGTATCCGTTAAAAAATAATGAGTCATCGTTTCGAAGACAAAGGAAGGAAAGTATTGTAAATTATAAAACAGATTACTTCATGGAATTTTGAGTCAATTTTAATCCTCACGTGTACGTCCGTGAATGCAATGCACTATCGAGAGGCATACGCAGTAACTGCGTTCATTGTCTAGGTGTATTTCCTTAGATCAGGCCAGAACTAGGCTAGTAGAACTAGCCAGTAGAATAGCGACCTACAATGCTGTAGTAGCAATTTAGTATTACATAATAGTATTTCAAAATCGCGAATCAAGCAACATAGACATAAAATAATCGCAAACTGGTTTGGTTTCAAGCATACACCTCTTTTATTATGTATTATATGTTTTGGTGTAATTAGAGCGGAATGAGTTCAGTTTATAAGAGAAATATTGGATCGCAATTATTTGTTAAGTAGCTATACGATAAACAGAATACTGCATATGAAATTAGTCCATCGAGACCCAATAAACAATTTCTCGAAGAACTATTCCCAAAAAAATACCTGGAACGGTTAAAAAAATACTCAGGTACTTAGGCACAGGTTTATTTTTGTCTTATGATTATAACGTTTTATCGCACAGGTACGTAATCCGTGTAAATTCCGAACGTAAACAAATGGCAACGAAATGCGGAGATAAGCGAAATAAACAGTTTTACTAGCAGCTCGAATCTGATTCGCAATAATACATTACAGAAGTAAACAATGATTTAATACATACTAGCGACTGAGAGAATGTGAAACGTGACTTTAGTAATTGTCGTCGCAACTTGGCGAAATGTCACTACGAATACACGTGATTTTACGCGCCAAAACCAGAACTTTCGATTGCGATTTAAAAATAAAACCTTACCAAGTACGAATTGTTTACAACAATTTCGTACTTTCAAATTTCAACTAGATACCTACTAAATATCAGCAGACAGTTAGATAGTTAGACCTTGTGTGACTCAAAAATGAGTCATCTTCAATAAAATAACAGAACATGGAATATGTACAATTTTTTTTAACTTATATATACACTAGGGTATTTTCATCCCCTAAATTGTGCAATGACGCAAAAAAAAAAATGAAACTCACCAACAACGTAAGACGTTGTCTAATATTAATTTATGTCCACTTGTAAGTAGATGGTGTTTAATATGAAACACTGTTTGTAAATATATATAGTTCAATAACAATTATTTTTTTGACTTAGGAGCACAACAATTGCACATCCGCACGATATCGCAGCTTATTAATAACTATTTTGCGGTGCACGCTCTCTCAGACTGCCGCATGTAACATACATACGTACATTGAGTCGCGTCGATGGGGAGTGGGAAAAAACAGTGGGGGAGACGAGGACAACACCCTCAGTGAGTCACCAATCAGAGCAGTGACAGGTCACCTTCGGTAACGTTATGTAATGTATTCGTGGTACATCGTAATAATCTTTTTATTATTTGAACCTATTTGCTAAAGTCTTTTAACAAAGCGGATTATACAATTTATGGTTCGTTGTTGAGAAATCTTTAAAACAACTCGTACTCCGTACCCCCCTGTCTTTTCCCTATTGAAATGAATGTTTTCATAAACAATTTTTATCTCTGCCCACTCAGTATAATTTTTTTTTGAGCGATTTTCGTAAATAAATTGCGGCGTATTTAGAAAGATTCTTTTTTATTTTCTTCTAGAAAGTAAATGATGCAGTTACAATTTATTTAAAGATATTACGCAGATTGCTACATTTAAGTACCTATTTAGTACAGAACGTAACTGTGGAGGGTTTGCCAAAACTTTTTAAAACAAACTCGATACCAAACATCGCAATTCCTACGATGCCCTACACATGTTACGCAATAAGTAAATAATTTTTGTTATCTATTTGTATTATTATTATTTTGTACCACCTTTCCACTTCGGTGACCGCCCGTAGTATTTACCATGACCCTCTTCTATCCATACTACGTGACGAAAATCTGCCTCCCCAGTGATCAAGCGTGGTATTTTTTGAACCCCCCCCCCTTCGAACGGGTCACGTAGTATTGGTACATTTCCTTAACAATATGTATGATGTATACATTTTATTTTATTACAAACTAGCCAAGTAAACATATTAACCGTAAAATAGATACTATGTATAAGTATAATGTTTACGTAAGTGCTATTCATTTATTAAAATAACAACAATTTGATATGATGTAGATATTTATATATGTACGTTAATTTGTTTATTAATTTATTTCTTTAATTTGATAAAATTAACATGGAGTTTCTAGTTGTTGACATAGGTTAGGAGTACTGATACCAATCAGTTGACAACACCATACTATGCTTAGTACAATAATTTGTTTCTGTTTTATCTCTGATTAAATTAAATTCATCTAAGACTAGGATAAATGTAAATAGCCTAAATCTAAATCAGGTATGATCAACAATAAAAATTTATAAATTAATATGTAACTGATATTACTTGTAAATTATTATTTTTTTTTATAAAAAGGAGTGTTATCGTTCTTTGCACAATGTGCTCATTTGTAATCGTAAAAGAAAAAAAGAAAAACAATAAGCAGGTTGATTTAAACGAAACAATACATCGCAGATCAACAACCCCATTTTCGCTCTTGTTTTGCTCGATATAAGGTTTTTGACATAACTTTGTATCTAATATAACCGAGATAAAAAGTTACTGCAACTTCATAATATGTATAAAAATACAAAGATAACAATTTTCACTTTGTTTCTTCATAAAATATTACCACGTAAAAACGATGTACTTATTAATACCGCACGTAACGCAATAGAAAATCCGCTATATTCACAATCATTGTTAATAACTTCACAAACACATTTCAAAATACTCTGCACAATATCGGCTGTTATCCTTATTCCGACCGCGCTGAGTGCAAAAATAAACAAAGGTCTCTCATTCCTAAGGTTAACATCTGCATATACCGAACTCGAGGTCAAGCAGTGCACCATTCGAAAAAAAAAAAATAAGTAAAGGCTTTTTTATTATACGGCACAATTAATGCAATAGCTGGAACGATTACTATCAAGGGCGACATTATTTTTGTAATATCTACGTAATCGCCAAACCTGCGAGCTGCGACAGATACGGGGTGGTTCGTGTTTTGATTATACATTTTATAGGTATAATACCTTTAACACTAAGTTTTTTAATTGTCAGATTAAGAGGAAACTTGTTCCTGTAAAGTACGTATGTGTGCAGAGACTTAACTGAACATATAACAATGCAATGCTAAAATATACGGCACAATTGCATTTACAGTTATTGACTAAAACTTTTTGGCCTATTCCAAAGTTATTTTATTTACTTTCAAGTCGATCCTTGTATAATCTTGTATGCAATAAGAATTCGTCAGTAGATATGCATATGCTATAATAAATTTATAATTTATTTTTCCCATGATTGATACCTTGGATTTGATCACTAATTATACCAAATAAGTATCGAACCTGCATAAAGACGTGTACATAAAATTTATATGTATTTACTGGTGTTTACATGTACAAGTAGCACACAATATAATCGTGACTTGGTACAAAATGTTACTTGAATTATTATTAAGTGTATATGTATTTATTTATGTATGAGGCTTGTAGCAAGTAATCGACCTCGCTGCAATACCAAGACAAGGTTATTTAAATGACCTCTTATTTCCACTTTAGGTTATTTCCGGTAAGGTGTCTACCTTTCCTGTCAGTGTTTTTTTTTTCTCGTATATTTTGAAGTACGTTTTAAACACTACCGCACCAGCTTGTTTACTAAATGTTCTGTAGGTACATAGGCCAAACACTTACACACATAGAAAGATAGCTAGGTAATTTGTATCTACTAATGGTACAAACAAGGTACTTTTTGTATTGTGTATCCCTGATAAAAAAAGTGTATCGTCTCTTTATCTATACTAAACAAGCACTCGTCATTTTTAATTAATTTTCGTTCATTTACCCCTTCAGGGTTTATAGCTCACAAAGTAAAAGTATATAAAAACGTTTCCTTTGAAATAATTTTTGGTTTTCCTTTCTGGTACAGATTTAGAGAAATGATTAAGTACTATTGCTTTACAAAGCAAATTAAAACAAGGTAAAAATTGTACCTTCTGAATATTTTTTGGTGTGATTTTGGAAAAACGATAAATTCGGTTATTTTAATTCGGAATTTCGTCCCTTTGTCATAATTCAAATGGATTGTCCCATGACGTTGCCTGGGCTGCAAATATAACCGTTAATAAAAGTTGAAAGAATTGGGCAAATTACAAAATATTTCAGGTAGCAAAAAGGTTTCGTAATATCCAGTTGACGAAGCACTGCATTCATTTGCTCAGTTAAACACTAAACACATGCATTATTATACATAATGAAATACGTAAGATTTGTCCTTCGTCTTTGCATTGCGCGAATTAGTCATTGCCTTTGTAATTTTGAATGCATGAAAATTCCAAGGAATCGATATTGTTATTGATCAATATTATTATTGTAAAACGAAATGTGATTTTTGTGTATTCATATGACTAACGTGTAGCGTTTTAAAAAAAAACCAACACAAAAGATTGGTATGCAACGAAATCATTCATTAGATTACTCAAGAAACTTTGATAAATAAAACAATAGGTAACTTATTGCTATTATGAATTTCGTTGTCTCTGTTTTACAAATCATTATTTTAATAGCAATTCGGTAATTAATTTGATAAAAAAAGAACTCAAAACTATCTTTTTAATATTTCTCTGATGCATATTTCTAAAAATATTACTGAAAATGTGCCAACCGGAAAAACATTTTCACCCTGTCTATTTCGCGATCATAAGGAAAGTACAGGATAGCTTTTACCTATTAAGCTACGTATTACCTATAAGAAACCGAACGATTATCCTGTTTGACAGTTTTTTAGAAATTCGCAATACAAATGCTCTTCCTTGATCTTCAAAAATCTAGTGAAAATACAAAATGATATCTCTCTGATATTTGTAATTTCAGAGAGGAAATATATTAAGTCGCAATGTGCTGTTTGTGTTAGTCACGGAAAAGCATGTAATAAGAGCTAATTTAATAAAAAAATAAAGAAAATTATTCCAGGATTTGTGAGTGCCATCGTACAGAACCCTTGGTGTGCTGATCGAGCTCGCACTATTTGGTAGGACACAATTTTTTGTGATTTTAACAGCATACTTTTTGGTTTCAATTATAAAAGTGAAATGTTAGAATTCGTAACAATATTTTTCCTCTAGTCAGCCAAGCTTGAATATGTAGGTCAGCGAACCGTTAGAATTTGTAATAATTTAAGGTTACAGCCAGTTTTCCATAGATAACTTTTTCACAATCTCATCGAAGGTCGGTTGAAAAATAACGGAATAACTGTACCGATTTGTCAATACTCGGTGCAAGTGATCTCAAAGAATTTCTTGGCTTTTTTTTATTAGGTACGCCTCTACCTATTATGCATATACGTAGGTACATTTTAATTATGTATGTAATTCACGAACACATTCATATATGTATGTATTTACCTATATCTATGCTAATCAATTCTTTTGGTATGCGATTTTTGCATTGCTTCGAAACAAAATAAATTTGCCACAACTGCATAATTTTTAATTACTTAAACTAATTAACTAATTTGCTGTAATATTTAATCAGTTCAATCTATCTTTTTCGATACAGAACAATTATATATGATCACATATATAAGGGTTGTTCGGAAAGTCATTTCGTTTTTTCCCGACAGAGGATTTAATTGTATTCTTTTGCACCCAACTTCACATTTAAGCCGTATAATTTTTATATGCTTTGAGAGCTCATATAGCAAGGCTTGTGTGTGAAAAATTCCAATTCATTCTACGCAGTAGTTTTTGGTTGGTGCCCTATTAAATATGAGAGCGATAAGCAGCATTTTCGACATATCTTACTGTTTTACTACAGAAAGGGTAAAAATGCTGTTCAAGCCAGAAAGAAATTGACTGATGTGTATGGAGAAGGTGTGTTGACAGTACGCCAGTGCCAGAACTGGTTCGCTAAATTTCGATCCGGCAATTTGGATGTCGAAGATGCACCACGTTCGGGAAGGCCGGTTGAAGCTGATAAAGACGCGATAAAGGCATTAGTTGATGTGAACCGGCGAATAACAACACGTGAGATCGGATTGAGGTTAAATTTATCAAATTCAACAGTTTATGATCACTTGAAAGGCCTAGGATTATCCTCGAAGCTCGATGTATGGGTTCCCCATGTTCTCAAAGAGAGAAATCTGTGTCGCCGTATTGGCCGTCTGCGATTCGCTTCTCAAACGTCACGAAAATGATCCGTTTTTGAAGCGCATCATCACTGGGGACGAAAAATGGGTTGTATACAACAACGTCAAACGCAAGAGGTCATGCAGCAAAAAAGATGAACCGGCTCAAACCATTTCCAAAGCCGATATTCACCAAAAAAAGAAGAAGATTTCCCCTCTTCCACGAAAACATAAAAAAAAAAAAAAAAAACCAAAAAAAGGTGATGCTGTCTGTTTGGTGAGATTTTAAAGGAATCGTTTTTTTTTGAGCTTTTACCGGATAACACAACGATTAATTCGGAAGTTTACTGTCATCAGCTGGACAAACTGAATGATGCACTTCAACAGAAAAGGTCAGAACTAATCAACAGGAAAGGTGTAGTGTTTCACCAAGACAACGCGAGACCTCACACAAGTTTGATCATTCGCCAAAAGCTTTTACAGCTTGAATGGGATACAATGCTACACCCACCATATTCTCCAGACCTGGCACCATCGGATTATTATTTGTTCCGGTCACTCCAAAATTTTTTAGACGGTAAAACCTTCACCTCTAATGAGGAGGTCAAAAACCTCCTCGATCAGTTTTTTGCCAGCAAAGACCAAAAATTTTATGAGCGTGGAATTATACTAAATCTAATTGCCCAATTAGGCCTAAATGTCTTAAGGCGTTATATTTCTGATCAAGTCCAAATCAAATAACTTGATCAGGGCCAAATGATACAACCTAATCACGACACACAGGGTTGTTAAATGTTAAATTTCTGGTCCGGTCCCAATCAAAATTTGAAGTTAGGTTTGCCGAGAAGGTCCAGACCGTAGTCGTAACAAGTTTCTAATCGGGGTTGTCTAAGAAAAATTACAATCAGTGCTTATAGAAATAAGTACAAAAGTTTGGCGTTGCATGCGAGTGCAAAGATAACGAAAGAGGTTCGCATCGATGTTGCGTTATCTTACCTGCGTGTTGCAGATGTAGATGATGTATGGTTAATAAATAGATATTCAAGAAGAGCCTCCAATAAAGAAAACATGCTGATGTTTTTTGAATACTTCGTTTTCATTAGTCGCTCAATAACCATGTTGTCACAGTAGCTAATATGTCGACTATAATGCCGTAGAAGGATGGAACAATAAATTAAATCATATCATGAGGGCTAATTCTAGAAAATGCCAGTTAACCAGAAAAATAAGAAAAGAGACAAAACAAAATGAAGAAAGAAAATGTAGAAGAAAGAAGCGCTCACTGAGTTAGATAAACGAATAAAGAGAATACTGAATCAGTTCACTTCAACACTGCTTGAGATTTTTGGCATACAGTGCAAAAGTTGAACGAATAGGTACCTTGGTATCATAAAATCCCTTCATTTGCTACACGAGGCCCACACGTTACATGAGGCATCGCCCTTATAAATTCTAGTCGGAATAGTTTCCTTGAAACAACCTAAAAGGAAAGAGTGAAGTGCGTGTCCAACCACTCTTAGGAGTGACAACCTTATGATGATAATGTCACTACCGACTAAAAATTTGCTTTTTCATAACTGCATTTAAGTAACATCGTTTGGTTTAGAAAAGAGTTACTTAATTTTGTTAATATTCTCTAATGATATGAATTAATTTTATGAAAAAGCGGTCACACATCAGGTTGAGCTAATAATGTGTTGTTTATTATAACATTGTTTGTAATTATTAGTGAGATAGGTACTTTTTCTTGTCTAATTTACAGCTGACTCAAAATGGTGTGGCCGTAAAAAATTAACCGGATTTTATTACCTTTTGCTTTGATTGCTACTTCGTTACTGACATTCTTGAGAGACTGATTACAGCGAAAAATAAAAAGTATATATAAAAGTTGTGTTTTTCAGTATACCTAGTATTTTACTTTTCTTATTGTACGTAACAACTAATTGTTGTCTTATCTTTTTTTTCAGATCTTCGATTAGCCCAGTTTACTCAGACAGAAAAGGGTAAGTTTTTTCATACATGTTTCTATGTCTTCTTATATATTTCTTTTAAGTGGTAAGTATCATTTGTACTGTACATACCTACATGCACAGCACTATTTTCTAACAGTCGCCCGATAGAGAAATTCCTTATTTAATCAGTCGCAGTCTAAGAAAGTAAGAGAAAGCTTTGCGAAACTTATTAGAATTAATGCAGTTTTCTTATAAATATTACAAAGTCATAGGTACTCGAATTAATCTATATCTTAATTAGTTTCATATACTCTTTGAATTGCGACACGCTCCATCTGTGACCAAACCATTTTTCGTAAAAAAAAAAAAATCGGGACGTAAAATTGTTTCCTAACTGTTTTTGCTGACAGAAGCTTTTGTCTGTGCTTAATGACGAGATAAGTATAACTGAACTCTGTAGTGAATTATTGACAAGCGGGCGAAACACACCAAATACATCTGCTTTTTGGTCGCAAATGCACAATACCGTAACTGAAACATATACAAGGTGTCTATAGAAGATTCCTTCCAATAAATTATCTGAATACGTACACTAACACACCTGTAGGCAGGTCCTAGATTTTCACCTTTAATATGAATTTCATCTTCTAGTGTTATGTGCATTTGTCAAGAGCAATATCAATTATTATTATATATCCCAAAACAAACATGGAGTAAAACAATATTTAATAGTGATGAATTGACAACTGAAGATAGGGATATTCTAGCACTTAACACGTATTACTTTATTAGAATTAGATAACATATGCAAGTTTAAAATTTAGTATAGAGCTAATTATCAACTTCTTAGATAGAAGACGATAATTTTTGCATATGGATAATGCATTATCGTTGATATGATTAAGTATGTATTACATGTACATTTGCGTTTTTTATATGAAGGAGAGCTTTCTACTATAAATTACCTATTCAGTTAATAATGGAGGTAGGTAGTTGGCACGTCGGTAAATAGTGAAATTTCTCCAGTTTTAAACGAAAAAAATGTCTGATAATTGCGCCGATACATGAATGTGTGAATAAATAATCGAAAGCTGATGGTTTAATTACTGTGCGATATTTTTTTTTGCATAATTATCGAAACCGTAACAGTGTGTTTTAACATGGAGATTGACTGTGAATTTTTGCACGAGTTTAGTCCTAATAGTCGTGTTTAAAATACTGATTTAAAAATAAATTGAGAGGGTCTTGTAGGTGCATGCACATATAACAGAATTGTCGTTAACCCCGTTACTCCCCCTTGACCCCTTACTCCCCCCATTTGCATGATGCAGTTTTATTAATAGATTCATCTAAAACGATATAAGTATATGTATATTTACAGGTAGGAGTTCCAAATATAACTTTTTCTGTCAACATGTTACTTAGTAAACATTAATCTTTACGTCCATGTAACTTTTTTTTTTTAAATAACTGGTTACAAGATTTAAACTTTTGTTACCTGGAGTTATTTGACACATGTACGTACAGAACGAGCCTTATTTTTCAACAGATTTTTGATTTTGGTTTGAATAAAAAAAAATTAATGTATGTTGGTAGCTTTTGTGATTTGTAATTCGTAATATTTTTAGTAAATTGTTTAGTGGTTAAAATTCCGTTCAGGATTGTTAATTGTCGAAGCTGTTAGATACAAACAAATTAGCAATGTTAAACAGTGTTCGCAAATTTTTGGCCAGGTTATTGAACCATGAGTTTTGCGTATTGTTTAAACATGAAGTCAGTGCACTTCGACAGAGCCAATTTCATTAGTTTTATTTGATATATGTGTATTTTTTACATAATCGTACATCAAACAACAAATAATGTCGGAGACTGATAAATTCAAGTGAAATCTCTAACCGCGCTCATCACGAAAACAAAAAAATAACTTTTTTTTTTTTTAATACTTAGGTGGGTAATATACTTATCATAAATATGCAAGTGTCATTGTTCGCAAATAAGTTAAAAATACTTGTTTTTATCTATCCTCGCTACAAAATAACCAATAAATCATAATATGTAGTTGATAACATTTTTTATTCAACTTTTAAAAAATAACATAATTATGTACTTACTGACTTGTATATTTTGTTAATTGATAATTCTTATACTTTTTTTTTTTCGAAATTAATATCTGGACTAACTTTCTTAAAAGTAAAGTACCTACTTAATAATTAACAAAAACCTTATCCCCAGACACTAATCCGAGGTCTGTTTCACCATTACCAAATTCATGAATGAAACCGGAAGTAACTGTTACATCCGCAATTCGCAACTATCTGTTACGCGTTTTATTGAACAGTCCGCGTATTAAAAGAAAGTAGTGCAAGAAGAAATGGAGAAAACTTCTCTAGAAGCAATCTAGAAGACCATCATCGTGTATTTGCGCTTACTATTTCTAATCCGTAGGTAAGTAGCAATATCCTGATATAATAAAATATGTAAAAGTTGACGCCTTATGATGGAGTTCAAGGTTGAGTACCTATCAAGTGCAAAATATTCGTATCGTATATAGGGTTGGTTAAGAAATGTTTTCGGTACTTTTTAAATATGTATTAAAAGTGACAGAAGCTATGCGATATTTAATTCTGTCACTCTTCTTATTTTCGCGAAAAGTTTTTTAAACTTTATAAAAGTATTATTGGGTTAAAAATAATTTGACTTTTAACTTACTTGGAGATGTTGAGAAGATAACCCCATTATCCGGATGCATGGCAGGCATTGGAGATGCAAATGAGTGGTGAATTTTCGTCGAATAAAAAAAAATGGTAATACCTAAGCGTGTAACCACCGAATGTCTATGTACTGTTCACTAATAGGAGTTCACTGTTACTACCGTCGATACAGTTAATAGAGTCAATATTTAATAACACTGTTGTCTGTCGGAAGTTTAGCACTAGAAACACATCTCGGCACGTCCTTTCTGATCTAGAGTCAATTTTGGTATAGACTGCAAGTGCAGGCTCCCACCTGGACGTAATGTAAAAGTGTGCGATAGTGACCCAGTTGTAAAGTCGGCCTGTAGAAGTGGCAAGCCGATGAAAGCGGAGAAAGGACAAAATGAATTACAGCCGTTATTACTAACATAGCATTACGCGCGATTACACAGCACATAACATGTTTGTGCCCTCGATTCACGACCAAATTTTTGGTTTGACGACTGCTGGTAATAGCGCGTACAAAAACAGATTTCTCTACTTGCGTTCCAATCTCAGTACGCTCATTGTCAAGTTCTATGGTCGAAGGTCGGCGCCCACTATATATATATATATATATGTATACATATAATGCCAAGAAGAAATAGCGCGAAAATTAACACTAGAGAAAGTTCACCACTTATACAAAGGCCATGACAGACACTGCGCGAAACCAATTCGTTTTGTCATTTTCTTATTCTTGAACCTGTTCGCAACACTGGCGATTTCAATTTCTTCTATCAATGTTCTAGAACGAAGCACGTTCCGTATGTATCTATTTTTCTGGCATGTACCAAATATCCCTGACATGCACCCATTATCAATTTCATCGACAACCAAAACAAGTTTGCATGACTTTTTTCAATACCTAATCGAAATTAATAGTTTGGATTTTCAATGTCAAGTTCAAAAAACAGCAGAAGTTAAAGAAGACAATGAATTGGTTACATGTCTAAATGCGTCTAAAACCCACTCCGATATTAGGTCAGAAATAGACACTTCAGAGGTCTTTACATCTCCGATGGTAGATGTGTCGAAAGACCTCTGAAGAAGTTTGCCATTCGTGAAACGTTGGGAAGAAACTCCAACCGACGATGGTTTAGACCCGAATCAGTTCTACTGTCCGCGAAAACCTTTACCAATTTGTCACCTTGACGTTAGGCGCATTTAAAAATTGTGCCAAGAACACCTGGGAATCCCTAACCAAATCCAAATATAAAGTCAATAACAAAACCCTTTGAGAAAACAGTGCCTGTAGTTGGAAACTGAAACAAAAGAAATTATGTTGCGTTGGAAACAGCACATATAAGTATCTCCATGATCCTATAAACAATATTTAACATGAGTCTCCCAATATTTATCTTATTTAGGTCAAAAACTAAACGGAAAGGATAAGCGAAAACCTTAAAACACCAATATTACACCCGTGAAAGTAAATCCAAACAGAGTATCCAAACACTATTCAACATTTTAGATCAAAAAATAACTACCTGTAGATTGTTATATTAACACCAGAAAGCTATTCCAGTTTGGGAATAATTATTAATTTCACTAAATTTTGTAGTAAATTCTTAAAAAAGGTGGTAAGGATTTGATCTCAGCAACATTTTAATCTTCCAAATTTGTAAATCAGCCTCTTGAAGTTAACAGATTTTGAGTAATCCTTGCTTTTTAAAAACGAAAGTATTTATTTTATTTTTCTATTTCTTGACGATACGATTGCTCTTCTACGCGATAAAACCATCTTTTAATTGATAAACTTTTCAAAGCATTCTGAATTATGTTAAATATGTTATTGTTTCTATCGAAAAGGAAATATGGAAATGAATTTATGAAAAGAACAAAAGAAAACTACATAATGCTACCAACATATAATACATTTATTGTGCACTATTATATTTTATCCTAGAATTTTTCTTCATTACGCATTAAGCATTTTTCTATTTTACAATTATGTATGTATTGAAATGCGTGGTAAAATATGGTCTCTCATTGTTGGATTCCTTCCATCCTATCGCAGTTTCATTTTTATTTACGGTAAAAATTCTTTCAAAACATTTTATAAAATTGACATAATTAGAACAAAATGTTTTGACTATGAAAAGCAGTAATTTATATCAAACGTTGTGTGCTATATTTATACATGTAGTAGCTACATTTATTGCATAACCGATATGCAAACGTTTTAAGATAAAATAATACATGTAACAAAATTAATTCGAAAAGTTGTGTTAATGTGGGTCATACCAAGGCGCTGCATGTGTTTATACATGTATTTAAAATGGGATAAATAAAAATAATAATGATTCTATTTTACCTTCACATGTCTGTTGATTAAAAGTGGGCAACACGCAGTTGCAACTCTTTATTAATTAGAAGTCAAATAAAATCGTTATGGTAATTGTTAAAACAAAAGCATATACAGCACATACATTTATTACACACAATAAAAACGGACTATATAGTAAATATTGTTATAGAAAAAGTTGACCATTTGTCATTTTCACTGAGAAGTGGCCAGGGTCATAGCACGAGAGGATTTTAGCTGTTATGATATTTAAGATGTCACACCCTTTTTAAGTAAGGTCAGAAACATAAGCAATAATATTGATTACTTAAAATTGGACCTTCAGCATCTGGCATTGCGAATTCTGATGTTTCAATGACAATCAGTAAAAGTTAAGGTTTCGGCAAGTTTTGGAGACTTAACTTCACTGCAACATACATGCGTTCATACGTAATATGTCTGTAAGTTAGAACATTTATTAAAATATACCTCATTACACAATCGCAGTATCACTTATCAAAAGTTTTCGGTAAATATTTAGTTAGTTAATCAATTTCTTACGTTACATCAGTGCTGCATTTGCATCTGCATCATATAGTCCGCGGCCAAGGGAGACAGAAAAAGCTCAGTCTGCCGCAATTTCAGTCTAGACTGATGTGCTCGGTTTGGATGAACTTAGTTAGGATCATACAGGACATCCTGATTTATTCCATGTATGTTAACCTAGTCAGGATCATACAGGGTACCCTGATATGGATTATATAAGGTACCCCTCTCCGAACCTGCCTTTTTAAGGCGTTACATTTTTTATGCGACCCTGGTCAGATTTACGTATTGATAACCTAATAGGGTAGCTGGGATGCCGGATCCGATCCGGATCCCTACCCCTTTTTATTTTCTGCTCTAACTATCGTACAGCATATTATGTCAATGTGTAGAGGTCGATTTGATCCATTTTCATCTAACAAAACCGCAGAGAAACTCAAATTAACAACATTATCATTATAACTTGTGCCCTAAATTTGCCGTTTTTCCTACTTCAATTGGTCTAGATATTTATTAGCGTAAATTGAAAATGTCTGGGTTTTCCCAGCTTTTCTTGCAGATTATTATAGGAACATTGGTCACTATTTGTATTTGAAATCGAAGTTTCACTACCAGGATTTTAATTTTCTATGTTAAACATACGCATTCCATAGAATGACAGTAAGTCCTTCTTTATCGGAACGAAAAGAAATTTCTCTATCCCTCGGGAACAATATTTTTTGTCTGGATAAAAGCTATTCTGTATTTTTTTTTTCTGTGTTCCTGACAATATGTGTACAAAATTTCATGATGCGTGAAATTGTAATAAACAAACCAACATTCGGATTTATAATATTAGTCAGAATTCGTCCTGATTTTCCTGAAAATCCAAGGAGAAAAAGAGATCTAAAATCTATTAGATACGAGCATACGAAGCAGCAGCAGACGAAGCGATATCCTTTTGATATTAGTTTGTTTCCCTTCACTTGCATAGTCTATAAATAATAATAATAATAATAATAAGTAAACATTCCTTATAATTTTTAATCTGTCCTTATTAGTAATTATTGCTTTATTGATAAATCTCCGCTAGACCATTGTTACTTCACTTTCACTTATCTCTTACAGCTTTCATCTTGTTTAATTAATAGGTACTTGTACTTGGGCATCTATCTAAAGAAAGCAAACTAAAAGACAAAACGGCAAAGAAATTCCTACAATTAAACTGCACCTAACCTGGCTAAATACTTTTACATTAGTCTGTTTTAGGGATATTAATTATTGTTTTATTGAGACTTTTATAGCTACAGTTATATTTATTACAGCATCAATTTTATCAACTGTATTTCTACAGGTAGATTAGATATAATTTATGATAATTTCTTTGGCGAGATGATGTAACCTGTCGGACGTTTTCAAGGGTGACCAATACTTCAAGGTATGCACGACCATGTATGCACAATGTCCATCTTAATTTCTGTAAGAGGTGCATCATTTTCTTGATGAATAACATTGTGATTTTTGTTAATCGCCTCTGTTCGATGTGCTAAAACATATTATATAACCCTCGGATATTCTCTGTCCAATTAGCCGACCAAAATATGGGCTAAATTCAACTTGGCCGTCACAACCAGTTTTGTTTACAGACTTAAATTTGACCATGATAAAAAGCAAACGAGAACACATCTATAGATACACACATATGTACGTATGTACCCATATAGGGGGACACAAATTTGCACAAATATTTTTAAAAATACAAAGGACGACTTGAAATAAACCAATAAGACTTTAATATTAAAAAAAAATAATAAAATGCGACTACAAGGTAACTACTTCAATTTTTTATTTAAATATTTGTTTGAGAAAAGCATTTTATGTATTATTTAAAATACTTTTTCAGTATCTGGCAAAATGCAAACTACGTTTTTGCTGTTATCACTAACCAAACGTTATACATATAGAATGAACTAAAGCTCACGTTGGTCATTGAAGGTATTTAGTACCTATATGGATGTAGCTATTATAGGGAGACACAAGTTTTTATATATAATGATAAATGTAAAAAAAATAAGAAAAAGGTTTGAAAGAAGTTTTAGCACATTACTTAATTTCTGATAAAAGCACAAAAGTTTCCTTATTGTAAAAAGGCTTGTTTATGTTACATACAGTTGAGGGAATTAATAGTTAATAAGAACAGTAAAACGTTCGATTTCGATTTCATTAGATCTCATTAGCACCTCATTGGTAGTCTCAATAAATTATCCCTCCATCTGCTGATATCTGGGGGTAGCTGAAGTGTTTCATGTTAGACAAGGACCTTAGTAAGGTATCTATTTGTCAAACAGAATCGACGACTCAATTAATATTTCATTCAGTATTTAAAATAGTCAATTGAAAACGCTAAATACAATATTA